ACTTCATGGCTGGTTATCCTCCCCACCCTCCCTTAGACAACCGACCACACCGTGCCCCATACATACTTCATCATTCTTCACTTTAACTATATCTGGACATACTTTAGTATATTCTGCTGTAAAATTTGCATTCTATTTTCATTTTTTCCTGAGGAATCAACCTATGAATGGTTCCCTGGCATTAAAAAAACACCACCTAGCACAGTCTAAAATCCGGGACAATTTATCCGACTCGCAGCCATCCATGACAAACTATCTATATCAGGGAGACTCCCGGAACTTCAAGGACACTTGGGGTGTCTGGGTCTTTGCTCAGGGACCCAGAATGGCACTGGATTCCAAGCTCTATGCCCTAACCACTAGGCCACCACACCCCATGACAATGCAGAAACACCCCGAGCTGGGAGTCAAACCCAGAATCTTTGTGTTGCAAGGTTGCAGCTCTACCCACTGCACTGCAAGTATTAGCTTGCAACCAAGCTTTTATTTTGTCTTTTTTTTTTTAAAGAATTAATTTGTACTCAGAAACCAGGTCGTCTGCGTGTGTCTCAGTGAACGCTGATATGCCCCGCCCCCTTGGCCAACGCTGGGACCCTTTTTCCACCTGGATCCCAGCTCTTTTTGGCCCTCATGTCCCTCCGTTGTCACACAAACTTTCTCCCACTTCCTCACCACCTCGGTGTATCTAGACCACAGCTAGTTCCTGATTGGCCCTCTGGCATTGTGGCGTGGAATAACATAGCGCAGACCACGCTTAAATTTTGGGTAGAAATCAAAAATATCTGCGACACACTGCTGGGGGAGGATAACCAGACCTTTAATGTGCAGCGCCAGAGGAGCAGTCTGGGGTTAAGGGTCTGGCTCAAGGACCCTGAGTGGTAACCTGTAGGGTTCGAACTCAGAAGAGACAAACTGGACAAACAACCATTCACTCAAACACTCACACCTCAGGAGAATTTAGAGAAGCCAATTAACCTAACAGTCATGTTTTTGGACTGTGGGAGGAAGCCGGAGTACCAGGAGAGAACCCACACATGCTCAGGGAGAACATGCAATCAAACTGAACCAAACCTGTTCAGATGATTTTTACCAATCTTGATGTGGAATGTTTGCTGACTGCAGTGTGAACAAATACTGTGGAATAAAAACAAACAGGAATGTTAGCTTCCTGTTCCAGATGACGCCTTTAGTTCCTGTTCAGGAACAGAAACTGCAGTTGCTCTAGCAGTCCTCCATGTTTTCCACTGGATATCACTGGAAGACTCGCCCCACTCCGTCTGTGGCTGTTCTGAGGATTTGCTGACCTATCCGGGAACCTGGATACTGTCACTGAACCGGATATTTGGTGGAATGTGGACCAGAAACACTGAAAATTCAAACCTTTTCTGCATGAGAAAGATGGAGTCATGTTTTCTTAGCACTACTGAAACATGACCCCCGTCCCCCCCACCCCCTGCTTGCTAAGAAGCATCATGCAGAAAAGCAAGTCTGTTCATGTAAGCAGCATCTCAGAGGACCCAGGGAGAATCCTGGGGGGGTTCCAGGCTGCCTGTCTGCGCTGCTCCTGATAACCTTCCTTCCAAAACACTGGATCCAGTGTCTGCATTAAAGCAAGACTTTTCACTGTTGACAGGTCAGCAAGGTGTATAGAACACGCTGGGTCAGTCTCTGCACATAAAGAGGATGAGTCAGGAGTGTTTTATACTTAAAACATTTATTTTGACATTTCAATATTATCATTTAAGGCGACAAAGATGGTTAGTGAGCAGGTATCGCAGCAGACCAGCACGCCGCTCTCTGTGGCTTTGTGCACTTCATCATCTCCCAGGATGCTCTCTGCCTGCTGCTGCTCCACCTCCTCCTTGGAGACGCTGAATCTTCCTCCACAGCGGCAGCAGTACGTGTATTCACACTCGTCTGAAACAACACAAGTCTTCAGTGATTGCAGTCCTTATTTGGATCACACAGATTTCCTGAATGACAGGAAATTTAGCCAAAGATCATAAAACGTGGATCGGAATATCTAAAGTCCTACAGTCACCTACACATGGTTTAGACTTTTATAAATATTTTTTTGTCATTATGCATAAACAGAAGCATTAACTGTGCAGTTAACTGAGCTTTTTCCTCTCCACTGTCGCTACAAGCATGCTTTGTGTGAGGGATTGCCTTGATGCAATCAGCTGGTTTTCCTTAGATAGAAAACTTTAAATCAATCTGACTGGATGATCTGGTGAACTGGAAAGTGACCTGAGATGACATGATGTGAATTGGAGCTATAGAAATAAGCTGAATTCGCTTCAATGTGGGATTTAAAAAACTGTTTTGTTTTTTTACTGATTGTCCTTTGACTCAATCAGGCTTTGGATTCAAAGACCCAAATCTCTGAGCTTTAATGAAGGCTGTTGCCTTTTCTCTAACAAGTTATTGTCTAATTTTAACCCATCCATGAAAGTTTTCTTTCCTTCGCTGCCATGGGTGGAACCATGAGTCTCCGTCTGATGCTGTAGACCATCGGTTACATGAGTCGACATTTTGTTTTTTCAGGGACGGCCTTCAGTAATCCTTGATCCAATTTACCGCTTCTTTTTTACCAGTTTTTATTAATTTATCTCAAACCAGTCTGCCCATTTCTCTCTGACATAAGCAGCACAAAGCTGCCGTCTCTTCTTCAGACCATAAACCTCAGAGAAGATTTTGTGTAAATATTGAAGCAGACCATGTCGTATTTAAAAGTTGCATACATTTCTTTTCTTCTGTTGTTCTGCACTTTGAACTTTTGCCAGTTCTCTTCATAATAAGAGGAGGCAGGGGAGTATTTTCTGAAGCGGACTTGCATACAGACCAAGCAGGTCCATAATAAAACCTGACTTAACCCCTTGAGCCCCGCAGGCCCAATACAGGGCCCATCTGTCACTTGCTCATGTTGATCCAGTTCTAGAAATGGCACAAACTCAGTCACATGGTGTTTCATCCACACGCCTTTCAAAATGGGGCTTTGAAATTTCTAAAACCTCTTTTAAAATTATTTTTTTTTTTTTTACAAATATTTTTTTTTAGAGCCGTGTAAACAAATAAAATGAGATTTAAAATTCCACCTGACGTGTGACTCTGCGGGAGTAATGCAACAGCAGGTATTCATTTTTAGCCCCGCTCCCTAATGGCCGCCATAATTGGAAACTAGAGGCTCAGACCTTTTTAAGGAGGGGTCAGAGGTCATTGTGCGACCATTTCAGGTGATGTAACCGGCATGCGTTACATAAGCTGCTCTGTTATTCTAATTTTCTATTCAGTTTGGTGATATTATTGGTAAATTTCATGAACTAACGGCGAAGTGTCAGGAGCAAAGGCTTTGTCTTATGCAGAAGGTCTCCAATAACATAAATCAGAATAGTTGTCTGACCAGATTCCCTTTCATTAGTGGAAAAATGCATTTGGCACAATTTCACCATTTTTGGCACCATTGTGACAAAATCCCATTGGCACACTGCCAATGCAGTGAGGAATGCTCTGATCTTTCTATTGGAGAAACCAGAGCGCCCTCCTCTAGACGAGACTCTCCTGTCCATCTACACCTGATGGACAAAGGATATTCTTTGGAGGACCAGAATGTTCACATTTTGGACAAAGAAGACAGGTGGTTTGAGAGCGGCAAGGAAACCATCTATGTTAAGAAAGAAAAACCAACCTGGAACTCAACACTATTTCTGACATTTTGAATTGAAAAAGCTTCTTGGATGGAAGAGAAACATCTTCAAACTTGGAAACAAAGTCCAGTGGATTATTTTTGTTTTTGTTTTTGGAAGCAAACAGAGGAGATGTTTTTATAAATCTGAATATGTGGCTAGATTTTCTTTAAAAAACCTCAAGGTTTGCATTAAAGGTTGATGATTTCAGTTCATTTATGAAGCGAAGAGTTTATTACAAACCCAAACGCGATGAATCAGGAAAGATGTATTAATAAAAGGTGTTGGTCCTCTAGCTGCTAACGTGCCATCACCTGAGTCCCAGGTCATGTCCTGCAGGTAGACCGTAGAATCGACGGTCCAGTCTTGTTTCAGTTCCTGTTCTGGTGAAGAAACATAGTTTTAAAACCACAGCAGAGAGAATAGATGCAGATGAATCCTTAGAAACACATCAGACTCCAATGGTTAGAAGAACCTCCGTCCTCCAGACTGGTCAAGAAAAACTGGCAGTGGACGATAGGTCTAGCATGAAAATAACCCATACAAAACTAATAAAAAAATAGTTTAAGAAGCAGCACAAGAAAGTTTTACTTTTTAAAAGTGAAATTCTGTTAACAGGTTATAAAAGCTGTATGCAAACAGCTTCTCCTGCTTTCTGTGGGTAGAAATCCAGATCTACTGTTCCTAGATACTAAATCAGACAGAGCAGAAGAGGAGGTGCAAGGATGAAGCTACCTGAACATCTATAGGAGACTGAGACGAGGAGACTAAACTGCTTATAATTTATTCTTTATGGTACGCCAGCATTCATAACATGTAGGCGAATCACTGTCCCCCAGACATCCACTGTTACTGTATATTTTTTATATTTCCATTTTTAAAAAACAAAGCGGCGTGTGTATGACATCATCCATGCGCTGGACTGGAGTCATAACAGGCAATTCCATCTGGAGATAGAGATCATCTGTGGTAGCAGCACTAGACATCTTCCAGGCATGTGAGGAAAACTAGCAGCAGTTCAGTGGACAGGATGAAGGAACGGTAGCCGGCGCGCGCGGATGACGTCATACACGCTTTGTTTTGTTTTAAAAGATATAAATATAAAAAACATAACTGCGGATGTCTGGGGGACAGTAATTCTCCTACATCTTCTGAATGCTGGCGTACCATAAAGAATAAATTATGAACAGTTTAGTCTCCTCGTCTCAGTATTCAGTTTCACATCCATGTTTTCCGTTTTGTAGTTTTATTGGTTTAATTCCTATTTTGTGGTGTTTTCTGGATATATTTGAGTTTTTAAGTTTTTCTTGCTTGCCCTCTGTTGCCCTCTTGTGTTGGTCCTTAGCTCCTTCTAGAATCCTCTGTTCACACCTGCTCCCAATCAGCTCCCATTAATCCAGTCTCCTATATAAACTCTCTGCGCTGGTTCCTCGTCTTTTCCTGACTCTTCATGCATGTTTTCCCCTGATGTCTCCAAGGTTCTCTTTTTATTGTACTTATGTGGGATTTTTGGATTCTGTTGCCTGTGAGTACTCCATTAAAAATGAAAAGAACCTCACCTCTGCATTTGGGTCCTCAAACCCAAATATTTATAATAATATATAATAACCCGATATTTCAAAGTGAAATATCCATATTAAATCAGGCGGCCATATATATCGCCAAATTGATTATTTCCCCACCCATAGCGATGAGGGCTTATAGAGAAAGAGGGCTCCATTTCAATCCTGTAAAACCAGCTGGATTTACCTCCACATGATTGTAATTTGTGTGGAGAAGCACCTGAGGGAGGATCAGAAGTAACAGCATTGTAGCAAAGCAAAGGCTGACAATATTTCAGAATAAGAGTTTTTTTATGTAAATGTTTGTTTAAGCAGATATTTGCTTCAAACTGCTTTCATTTGTCCCTGTGGAGTAATATGGAGGTCGAATCTGGACCCTGTAATCCCTTTAGGAATAAGGCTTTGAGTGATATGTGATGAAAGGTGAGGTGTGTGTATAATCTATGGATGGACTGTAGCTGTAAGCGGACGGTGAAGACGACAGATGTTAGCACATTTCTAAACAATTCACTCGTGAGGAAACAGTGATTATCAAGTTGTTCCGTTTGATAGCGATAAATACTTTGAAGCTCTAATAATTTGTGTTAAATTTGGTGTAGCTTTTAATTAGTGTCACACTAAATGAAGAATAATGGCTGCTAAACTAGTGATAATTTGCTTTTGAATCAATAATGAGGGGCTACCTGGGAGAGAGGTCGTTAGCATGGCTGCGTCTCACCAGGAAGTCGAAGCATCCCTGATTTGAATGTTTCATTATGATACAATAGAAAAGGATTCAATCTTAATTTAATCTGTATTAAGGGAGTGTTTGACTCTCTAAACCTCCTAATCACCCAACAAACTTCAGAACAACCTATAGCTTCCTTTCCTAGCTTTAACCTCCTCCTCTGTTTTTATCCTCCTATATGTGACATTTTATTCAGGTCTGAATTTGCCGACCTCACACCGAGGAAACGCGCTGACAAACTCACACTATTGAGCTAAACATGGCCCCACAGATATAAAAGTAAAGCCAACAAAATGTGAAGGAAGTAGAGCAACGCTGAGCTGCTGCATAAAGGAACCATAAACATTGACCTACAGAGACGACTCTAATGCTCCTTTCCCAGTGTCTATCCCGGGAACATTGGACTTTTAGTGACAGTGGGAACAGTGATCTTAACGCGACTCCGCAAGCGACCCACATTAAAATCACCTCGGTTCTGATCGGCATGATGTGGGAACACCAGAGCTGTCGTTCTATAAGATGAGCATACCCCGTCAGACCAGCATACCTATAGTCAATAAACGTGCAAGATGTCAGATATGCATTTATCCTTTTAGTTTTGTAGGAAAAATAGACATTAAACTACCTCAACAGGCGTGTATCCCTTTAGTCATGAACAAAAAAAAACTGATGTCAGCATATGTCGCCATATGCTTAAAAAAAACAAAAATGAAGTAATTAAATAGTTCTTTAGTTCATGACTAAAGGGATACACGCCTGTTAAGGTAGTTTAAAGTGTATTTTTGGCAATTTTGGGATAAACTAAAGGGATTAAAAAAAGAGTGTTGACTATGGGTATGCTTATCTGACAGATCACCGGGTCGACCCCCTAAATTACGGATACCATTGAACGCAAAGTACGGACGTCAACACTTCGCGCCAGTCGCTTCTGACCTAACAAGCAGAATGAACTCCGTTTCCATTGGATAAACATGGAGAGAGGGATTCAGACAGATAGAGAGAAAAAATAAAGCACACTGACTACGCCCTGGCGTTCTTACATGTCGCCCTCCATTGTTTACTTCCCTGATTTCTGTCACACTGATGACATAATCAATGCTAACCCAGCGTGATGTTGTCATCAGACACGCAGCGGTGGGGGGACAGAGGCCACGCAGCTGCCAGCGAGGGGTTAAACCAGCTTTCTTAGCCAACCAGAAGGGAGCCAGATGCTTATTGTTAGCGTGTCGATCCATGTTTGAAAAACAAGCGTTAACCTGCTATTTTCAGCGAGAGAGAGGGTTGGCCCGTTCTGGGCTGAGGTGGAGGTGTGGCTAATACAATCTGAAGTAACAATAGTTGTGAAATGTGAACGGAGCAAAGCTCACCCCTCCTCTTCATGTCATAATGTCTTCTAGAGGTCTGGTCACTGAGAACCTTCCAGGCTGCGTCCACTTCTAGAAACTTCTTGACACCAGACTCTGATGAACTTCCACCTCCGAGACGGTCTGGATGGTACTAGACACACAGACAAAGGTTTATGTTTCAATCCATATTGAGGGATTACATCAACATACATTCATTTTTTTACTGGATTTCTGCCTAACCCAGTCCTTCACCCGAACCATTACCAGTATACCAGTGTCTTGGGAAAAAAGTATTCAACTATTCACCCTAGTTGAATAAACGGAGATCGATGGATTTTACTCAGTCGGCACATTTATTCATTCTCATCTTTGCAAAGAGAGAACAGTCATCATGAAGCCCTTATGGCACAGCATTCAGCTCTGTTCTGCATGAACAGCGTTCGTTCGTTCCTCCTTACTTACAACAATAGAAAGTAGTCAAAACAAATGACACTTTGATTAAACAGTAACATGTTATGAATAAACTTTGAGACAGAATCTGGTTTGTTATGGGAAGAAGCTATGTCTGGTCTACAAACACCATCCTGCAGAGAATGGTGTGGCCTTCAAGGTAAGTGAAGACTTTTATAGTGAGTAAATAGGATAAATTAATATATAATAGAAGAGAAATGTAAATTTTCCGACAACAACCAGTCACCTCTAACTGACTCCCTAAGATTAAAAAATGTCAGTCCACCACATTGGAAGGTTAACTAATTTACCAAAAACTGTCTAAAATAGGTACCATAAACAAACACACACAAACATGTCTCACTGCCTTTTTGTTCATTTCTACTCCCTAATTGTGACTCAGCCTAAAGTTCATACCTCACACTAACCTCCACAGCCCTAAACATGACCCTTGACACTAAAACATCAATTAAATTCTATTCAGTTTATTTCTATAGCTCTAATTAACAACACATGTCATCTCAGGTCACTTTCCAGTTCACCAGATCATCCAGTCAGATTGATTCAAAGTTTTCTATCTAAGGAAAACCAGCTGATTGCATCGACTCATTGACCATTTCTCAATCTGTGTACTTGTGCGTCCTTGTGTACTCGTGAAACCTCATCAACCTCAGCTCTAGCACTGTTCCAATTCACAAGAACAGCAGACAGAGAACAGACAAAGTCCCCGGATGTTGTTCTGGCCCCTCCCTCTTTACCCAGCATGCA